CAACGTATGCAACACCAGATCCAATTTTGCAATATCCAGATAAAACATATGCAACGTATATTTGAAACGCATGAAACATACGGTTGCAATATGTGCTTATCTACTTGCTGCCGCCCAATGAAGGCTCGTAGACGTGGCGTGTGGGAGCGCAGCGCGAGGCGTGGATGACGCGTGGCGCGAGGCAAGGGTGGGTAATGCGTGGCGCAAGGCGGAGTGCTGGAATGAGGTGTGAGGCGCAGGGCGCGCGCGCGCGAGGCGAGTCTATCTGGTGGAATGCCGCGAGGAAATCGAATAGGAAAGAGAAACATCCAGATTTTTTTTAATAAAATGGTGAAGTTGTGAGGGAAGTTGGGCCGATCAGACCTGATCCGCAAGTCCAGCGAAGATGTGCGTCCGGCGGACGGACGCTCGGTAAGAGCGTTACCGAAACGAAAGCCTCTAGTCATTGTTGTTGACATCATCAAATGTAATCACAAGGAATCTCTGATTTCTCAAGGGCCTATCCAACAAACACACGACAAAGACGTGCACCATGAAGAAGCCCCATCTAGAGACTACCAAATCACAGTGGTGGTTCTTCACGGTGATGCCTCTGAATAAGTTAAAAAAAACTAAACTATGTCATGTTTTTATAGGTTAGCGCCCTTACTCTTTAACTGCACAATTAATGCAATAGTCTCAAAAGGCTTAAATTCAACACTAGCATAGAAAACCAGGCTAAAAGGCAGTAGTACGTGTATACGTGTATGCATGTGGCCATGGGATGCATGTGGGTGTTTACATACACACCATTTGTTTTGTTTTTTTACAAAAAAAAAATACAGCAACAAAGAAGACCAAGTTGAGAAAGGTTTGCTAATTTGAAACCCGAAGCTTGAGGGGTGTGGTCATCAGGCGAATTGAATACACTACAAAATACTGGTACGAATGGTTAAGACGTGAGGGGAGCGAGGTTGCCTCTGGAATTGAAACTGCTCGTTTGGTTAAATCACATACAGGACAGGGAGTGCGACCGGTGGAGAGGAAAGGGACCGATCTGTTGAGAAAAGTTTTTGCTTTCCTAGCTAGCATTGCTGGTTTTCTGTTGTTGCATATGGCCACTTGGCTTGTTTTCCTGTTCTGATCAACTAGATATGCTCAGGACAGATCACATGTCGGCCACTTAATAGAATAGTCTTACTCTATTTTGTTTGGTATAAGCCCTCCTTTTTTTATTTTTATTTCAAAAATGGACGGCAGAGCTTCTTCCGCGCATACTACTGCCTAAGCAAGGAGGCATGTCTACGTACTGGCTTCCGGTCACAGAATCATGTTGTTTAGGATAATTTTTTTTTATCCAACCTTAAAAACTACCAACTTCAATAAGTATTACACTATTTTATTAAAAGCAGGTAAGTTATACGTGTATAACTATATTAAAACTACTTGTAAGTCTCCAACTTTCGAATAATTTGTGTGTTCTAGAATAATTATAGTGATTAATAAAGATACATATATATCAAAGGCCGTGCAAATGCAAAATGTGAGTACTTTTTACCGGGTAGTATCAAAGAGACTTTTGAGTGGAAAATAAAGGAATCGTGTGCACAGTGGCTTATAAGCCGTACTTTTTCAGCCAACGAACAGTGTTTTTCTCTCACAACAAATCAGCCAGTGGTACTTTCAGCCATGGCTTATCAGCCAAGCGAACAGACTATTGCATGCATAACAATCGAGGAAAACTCATGCGTCCACGGAAGACTTTCCTGCTAACTAATGGTTGCATGCCTTTATATTAGGCCGCAGGGGTTGAAGATTATGAGCTAGTATTATATTAGGGGTGTTTTAATTTGACCGGCCGCCTGTTGCGCAGTGCAGTGTGGTTGCTTGTGTCGTTTGGAAGTGAAAGTCTTTGGAACAAAAAAGCAACTTCAACTCTTAAAAAAAGAGTCCATCCATAGCCCGGTTGAATTGTTGCACAGGATTGTTTCGTTTATAAAGAAAATGACGAGCATACACTTGCTGCTGCGTGCCGGCGCCTGAACAAGTCCGGCCGGCTAGCTAGATACCTTTGAATGTTGAACACGAAGCCAAGGCGTGTGTTTGGCTTGCTGATTCTGTCAGGAATCCCCCGTCAAGATTCTAGAAGATGGGGAAAAAACTAGTACTGCCTCCCTCTAAAAAAGATTGCACCTGGTCAGGTCAAACTCAAATTATTTTAGATTTAACTATGTTATATACAACAAAATATTATCGACATGGATGACACTAAATATATATTATAAAAACATATTTCTCAAATTATGTATCTAATAATACTTATTTAGTATGGTAATATTCGTATCATTTTATATAAATTTGATTAAATATTAAATCATTTGATTTAGTAATATTTTAGAATTGTATTCTTTTGGGTACAGAGAGATTGAGAGAATCTCAGTCTGTTCGGTTGTAGAAAAATACAGTACTGCAGCAGCTCCGGCTTTTTCTTCTCTTTTATTAAACTACTATGGTAACATGTATATTATTAGGCTGCAGCGGCCAGATAATCCTCTACTCTCTCTGGCCTTTTTATCTCTCGTTCTCACTCCCGAGAAGTTAAACGTACTCATTTTTGACCAAATATATAAGAAAATATTAATATTTATGGTACATAATTAGTATTATTAAAGGTTATTGAATATGCTTTCATAATAATTTTATTTGGAGCTACAAATGTTACAAATATTTTCTATAAACTTAGCCAAACTTGAGAATTTTGACCAGCACAGATACGTTTACGTTTCGTTCTTAGGCCACCCCTAATAATGCACTACCATGTCGTGTTACCTGGCCTCCACATCAGCCTCTGGCATGTCAAATGGATCAGGAGCCTTGCACAGGGTCGAAATGACCTGCAGAAGCACCACAGCCTCGTCTAACACTTAGGCTTGTTTAGATGGGTGTTAGAAATTAGTATTTGGTACTGTAGTACTTTTGTTTGTATTTGATAATTATTGTTCAATCATAGCCTAACTAGGCTCAAAAGATTCGTCTCGTAATTTACAATCAAACTATGTAATTAGTTATTTTTTTATCTACATTTAATACTCTATATATGTGTCCAAAGATTTAATGTGATGGAGAGAGAGTGAAAAAACTTGGAATCTAAACAAGGCCTTATGCAGAAGCTAAGACTGAAGCACACGCTGTAGAAATAAAGAACCTGTTTGTGTGTGAGAGAGAGAGAGAGTTGGAGAGAGGAAACGGTAGCTGCTTATTTTCTTTTTGGCACTCTAAAAGCTATGATAGACAATAATATACTTAGGGTTTGTTCGGATTATCGGACTACAGTTTAGTCCGTCGTTGAATTATAAGCTAAACATGGACTAATTAAAATTTTCTTTTTTCTAATAAGTTCTTCTCATATATTAGTGTCTATTACTTTATGTAAGACCATGATTAGTTTATATTTAGACCTTCTATTTAGCATCTAAAACATGGACTAAAGTTTTAGTTTAATCCATCCAGACGCCCCTTAGCTGATGGTTGATAGGTGGTAGCCCTGAATCTGTTCTCTACATATATGAAACAATATTTTTTTGCCAACATGTCTATACGCTTGCGTTGGTGCTGCTCTTAGCGGTAGCCGTTGAATGTTCTGCAATGGGGACAGACACAGACAATGCATAATTCATGATGTACTGCACTGTACTCTACGTATAGAGAGAGGTATTGGGAATGGAATCCCGGCAGCAGGAGGATGATGTGAGCAGACTTTTGCCATGTACTGCACTAAACGCTGGCAGCTAGCTAGCTTTGCGTAAGCGAATGCGTATTAGTTGCTGACCTCATCCATGCAACGTCATCTCCCATTGGTCAGCATGCATGTATGCATGTGGGTTGTTACTCCTATGTGGCATCATATCGCCGCTTCGGCTTACTGCTAACCACAAACCAATTAGCGTGCTGACAGTGAACCACGTGTCATCGCCGCATTGGCTTATATCGTTTCTGGTGCTATAACCATAATCCATAATGTTGGTATATAGCTGCAACAGTAATATAAGCTTTCAGTAACGAAGTCATTGTCATCTGTCCACTGCCTGCAACGAGCTCGTCCTTGTCTCTTCTGCCACTAGTTGCACTAGTTGCATGCAGGATCGGTATTCTGATCGATGCATTGCATCAACCGATCGATGGATCGCATCAACCGATAGATGGATCCTTCCATAACTCCAATTGATGGCTGCCAGCCTAATTCTAAATCTCAGGTCCGTTTAGATGCTTAGAATTGAATTTATTTTAATAATCATAATTTATACATATATTAATTAAGTTAATATGGTTGTATATGAATTATATTTGTATATTATTGTTACCTATACAAGAGAGATACTTATGTGTTGCAAAGTAGAAATGTAGAATCTATAGAATCAATTTCCATCCCCCATCTTATAAATTTAAGATAAGCTTATATGTAAACTTTGAAAAGTGGTGGAATGTCAAATTTCAACCCAAATAGGCTAATTTATTAAATAGATTGTAATTTCTCTAAACGAAAAGGATCCAAATGGCTCGTAATGTCCGGCAGAATCGCATGCAGCCATTGAATTACCGAGAGACAAAGATGTCGATTACTAGTACTTAGACCGTTTCCAACAAGTGACCTATATGGACACCCAAACCTAAAATGGACAAAGAAGAGACCCAAAATCGACCTCCAACAGAGTACCTATACTGGGTGACCCATTTTGGGTTGTCTGAGAGACACAACTCAAATATGAGCATCATCTCTCCCTGAAACCCATTTTCAGAAATGATTCTCTTTTGGATCCTGTTGTTGGAGAAGATGTCAAATGTGTGTATTGAACCATTTACCTGTAGAAGCGCTACCCAAACGTCGAATGGATCTTGTATTTTATGTGTTGTCGTTAGAGATAGTCTTAGCAAAGCCCTATTTATAGCCCCCATGGCGAATGGAGATGCCCAAGCCTCAGCCCTCAGCTCAGCTCGCACCGTTAATCAACAGCTAGCTAGCAATGGCGGTGCAGGTCATCGTACAAGGCAGCAGCAGCAGCTCGCCTCAGCAATGGCACCTCACTGTCGTCATGACGGTTCTCGTCCCTCTGCTCTTGCTCCTCCTTGCAAGAAAAAGAAGAGCAGGAAAGAGCTGGAGCAGCAAGAAAGGGCGGCGCGTCCTCCTTCACCTGCCGCCGGGCCCGCCGAGGCTGCCGATCCTGGGCAACCTGCACCAGCTGGGCGCGCTGCCGCACCAGAGCCTGCGCGAGCTGGCGCGCCGCCACGGGCCCATCATGCTTTTGCGCCTGGGCAGCGTGCCCACGCTGGTGGTGTCGTCGGCCGAGGTGGCGCGGGAGGTGATGAAGGCGCGCGACGCCGACTGCTGCAGCCGCCCCGACACGCCGGGGGCCCGGCGCCTGTCGTACGACCACAAGGACGTCGCCTTCAGTCCCTACGGAGACTACTGGCGCGAGATGCGCAAGCTCTTCGTCGTCGAGTTCCTCAGCGCGCGCCGCGTTCGCGCCGCCGACTATGCCAGGGAGGCCGAGGTAGATGTGGTGACTGCACTGCATGCATTGCCGTCGTGATCATCGCGTGATCAGACATCTAGTACATAGAAAAGAAAACGTTCCTAACTAATGCTATAATGGATATATAGGTGGACAAGCTGATCGGCAGGTTGAGCAGCGCCGGTGGCAAGGCGGTGCAGCTGGAGGACCACATCTTCGGGCTCATGGACGGCGTCATCGGCACGGTGGCGTTCGGGAACATCTACGGCACGGAGCAGTTCGCGCACAAGAAGCACTTCCACGACGTGCTGGACGAGGCCATGAGCGCCAAGGCCGGCTTCTCCACCGAGGACTACTACTACCCGAACGCCGCCGGCCGCCTCGTGGACCGCCTCACCGGCGCCGCCGCGCGACGCGAGAGGGTGTTCAGGGACCTCGACGCCTTCTTTGATACCATCATCGACCAGCACCTGGTGGACCCGTCGTCCCGCGCCACGACGCCCGGCGGCCACGGCCCCGACCTCATCGACGTCTTCGTCGACCTCATGGAGGAGCGCCGCCAGCGACAGGCCGGCTCCCACCACTTCACTAGAGACCACATCAAAGGGCTGCTCTCGGTATGCGTCGTGTCCGTTCACACTCACACTACTCAGGAGATCGATCGTAGCATCCATAGATGTATCTATGTATATCACACTGTAATATTAATTGTAGAACGTGTTCACCGCTAGCGTGGACACGAGCTCGGTGACCATGGTGTGGGCGATGGCGGAGCTGATCCGGAGGCCGGCGATGCTGAGGAAGGCGCAGGAGGAGGTCCGGACCGTGGTGGACGGCGGCGGCAGGGAGAGGGTGCACCCCGACGACGTGTCCAAGCTCATGTACCTGAAGGCGGTGGTGAAGGAGACGCTGCGGCTGCACCCGGCGGTGCCGCTGCTGCTGCCGAGGGAGACGCTGCGGCACGTGAGCATCTGCGGGTACGACGTGCCGGCAAGGACGAGGGTGCTGGTGAACGCGTGGGCCATCGGCAGGGACCCCCGCAACTGGGGGGACAGGCCCGAGGAGTTCGACCCGGACAGGTTCGACGGGGACGACGGCGTCGTGGACTTCAACGGCACGCACTTCGAGCTCGTCCCCTTCGGCGCCGGCCGCCGGATGTGCCCTGGCATGGCCATGGGCGTGGCCACCATGGAGTTCACGCTCGCAAACCTGCTCTACTGCTTCGACTGGGAGCTCCCGGAGGGGGTGCGGGTGGAGGACGTGAGCATGGAAGAGACCGGAGGGCTCACCGTCCACAAGAAAACGCCTCTCCTGCTTGTCCCGACAAGATACAAGTGTGCGTCACACACTGTCTGTAGCAGTCAGTGCTTAGCTACTGCATCATGACCATTTATAGCAAGCCTTACATTATTACAGCAGAAAAACATTAGCTCTTACGTTTACGAGATATTATATACTAATAAGTTTACAAGGAGCGCATGTAGCGTTCATCAATTAAGCTAGGGTTATAGTTATTGTAATACTTAGATGTAGATGGCAATGGGTAATTGTTTGATATGAAATAATAGTGGTCATACCTTATAGCTTGGTTCGATTTAAATTAAAATGATTTTCTACTGCAAGCAAAATGTTCTAACATGTCTTCATAGGAGCAACTTCAGCAGGCCCCTAATTGAGCCCTTGAGGGAAGGGGAAGAAGAAAACCTCACTCCAGCAGGGACTCTACTCCGACCCTAAAAAGTAGGAGGCATTTAAATCTCTCCCTCGAGCCCTTGTTCCCGGGGGGTTTGGACTCTAGAGGGAGCACCTACTTTTCTGTTTTGACGGTTTTTGTTCACGCGCTACCTTTAGAGCCTATGCCCACTCGACCTTTCGCGCCGCACGGCCGGTTCCTCTTCCCATCCGGTGGCTTGCTCCAGCCCAGATCTCGCCACTGCTCGGTAGCCCGCTCTTGCCCAGCCGCTTGTCTTTCGACACGGCTGCATCCAGGCGAGATTGCTCTCGGCAATTTTCCCGTCGGCGAGACTCCTCCGTCCTCGGCGAGGCATCTCCCTGCAAATCACTCCCCCCACAGATCATTCCCCCGCGGCCCTCGTGATTCCCTCCCCATGACTCCTACCCCTCCCGCGGCGGCTCCCCTCCTTTGGTGAGCCCCTCCCTCGCAGCACCGCCTCAGCGACTCTCCTCTTTTGCTGCCGAAACATGACCAAGTTCTCAATTGGGAAGAAGATGAGAAGGAGAACGACGGGTGGGTCGTCCTATGTGTCATTCCCTCTAACAATGAATTTGTGGGCTCTGTTTCGAGGGCTACTACTAGAGTGTAGCCTACAAAATAGAGACCTAAAAAGTAGGAGAAGACCTCAAATAAAATGTAGGAAAAGCCCTCGAATAAAAAGTAGGAGTTATATTTTGAGGGCTATTGCTGGAGTTATTTTATAGCAATGGTATGTTACTGTGCGGCCCATATCAATACATTTCTTGGAGAGCTAACTCCACTCATACTAGCGATCAATATTCGAACAGCAAAAAAATCCTTTTTTGGAAAAAGCATATGGCCGCACCGCCGAGGGCATGTGCCCATTCTCTTGCATGCGCCCACCCCTCCCTCATCTCCTTCTCTAGATGTGACGTCACCTTATAAAAAAAGGAAAATATTTATTTTAAATTGTTATGACTTCTGAACGGTGCATCTAATTTCAATCCCGTCTGCACTAGTGTGTTCTACGCGACGAGATGAATAAAACTAGATCTCACTTGCATATATTTCAAAGATTTTTTTTTCTAGTAGCAATTTATGTGTACTAACTTATAACATATAACTTATGCAAAAAACTTAGAAACACAAGAGTTATGAAATACAACTTATTTATGAAAAGTTATTAAATATAAAGGAACGAATTAACTTATGACTTATACCAAAACTTACCAACACAAAGTCGTTTACACACAAAGGAACAAATTAACTTATTACTTATACCAAAACTTAGAAAAACAAAAATTATGAAACACAACTTATATACAAAAGTTATCAAACACAACTTATGTACATAAGTTATTCATACAATATGTGTACATAAGTTATTCTATACAACTTGCCAATTAACTTATAACTTATAATAAAACATGAAAACACAAAAATTATTAAACACAACTTATGTACAAAAGTTATCAAACACAACATATATACATAAGTTATTCTATGCAACTTGTGTACATAAGTTATTCTATACAACTTGCTAACACTGCAAAAAAAATAAAAAAAATAAATGAAAGAAGGATAAAAATATTAAAAATGAAAACATACTAAAAATCACATAAAGAAAAACTAAATAAAATTGAACAGAAAAACAAAGAAAGAAGCGCTTGAGTGGGCACATGTAGGAGGAGGGACAGGAGTGGGCGCATGCAGCAGGAGTGGGCGCATGCAGATAGAATAAAGAAAAATGAGAAAGAAGAACGGCAGGAGCGGGTCGGACGCGTGCAGCGCGGTGGAGAGTGTTGGCTGCTTTCAAAATGATTGAACGCTCATTGAATCGGAATTGGGAGCTAACTCACCAATATGCTGGTGGATTTCTATGGGTTCCAACCTATATAAGCCTAACAATAGCATATTCTATAAGCAACAACCAAAGGAACCGTTAAGCTCACACTTTTGAATATTTATCAACATATATACCCGACGGTGTCATAATAATTATCGCAACAGCCAAAGGGCTCCATATTGACCGGTGTGCATCACACCTCCAAATAAAAGTGTCCGAACTCTACAACAACGTCCCTGCCCCAGGAGTTTTTTTAAACGTCCCTGCTCCAGGAGTTTTTTAAAAAAAAGGAACCCTGCCCTAGGAGTAATAAGTTGATGTTTGGGGCGGTCGGGAACGATCAAAGCGTCTTTGGAAGGAAGCCCACCGATTTCCACAGCCCAAATGCTCAGAATTAATAGGAACACAGTAATTATGACGTGCTTGACGGCCTGCGTGTGAGACGCTCGCTTGGCGTGCGGACCGGATGGGCTACCCTGCCAAAGTGGGCCTGATAACCATAGTGGATATAATTGCCAACCTAATAAGGACAACGAAGGTTTCGTTCTTGGAGAAATGGCATTTGGTTTATATGCCTCATTCTTTTGAGGCACTAAACTAGCAAGTTTGGTATGCAAGGAGGAAAACTATTCATGAAAATATCTATCAAAGTCTGCTCTCCACGCACCAGTTTGTTTCTAATTTTGTGGCAAACCTCGAGCTCATGAAGCCTCAAGCGAGGCGTGGCCTGAAGAACACGGAAGCCCGGTTCGGTGGATCCCCTACCGATCAGTTTCATGAAGATCAACGTCGACACTGCTCTGACCAATAATTCGGGAGTCGTCGCAGCAGCTGCGCTTGCAAGAGATGCTGCGGGGAAGTTTGGAACCTGACATGGTGGAAGCAATTGCATGCAAAGAAGACCTAGCGTTTGCTAGTGATCTGGTCCTTCGTGATTTTAGACTATCGTGTGATAATACAGGAGTCATCAGGAGTATCCGGGAAGGGAGCATGGGCTCTTATGGATATATAGTTAAGGAAATTAGAGCTAGATTACGCGAGTTCAATTTTGTTGAATTTGTTCATGAAGGAGGCAATCAAATTTTGATGCACATGTCTTAGCTAAGTAGTAGTGTCTATGATGAACTTGGTAGACATGTTTGGTTTATATCTCTGCCGAATGGCGGTTGTACTTCTTCTGAAGCTCAATAAAGATTTTGCTTCCCTAAAAAAACTAAACCAGCAAGTGACCGCATAGTTGCAGGAAAAATTATATCTTTTTTACCGATATTTGGTACAGAACTTGAGAAGCTTGGGATGGCGGGTTTATTTCTTCTAATACTAATTGGCTACAATTTTATAAACATTTGATTTGCCTTTTACACAGCTGGTTGCGTAAATTGTAGAGAAATCGAGCAATTTGGCCCCAGCCTCCTTCGCTTTGTGTCACGCTCCGCCACTGCTTGGTTCTCACGCTCCAAGCTATCATAATCCATCTTTGCAGGGGGTAGGGTGGACTTTGTGGAAGAATTTGTACAGGCCTTGGCTCTCCAGGCTCCAAAGCGTTGTTGCTAGCTCCGTCTAGTGCTCTTCTCTTTATTATAGATCCAGTCAGTACGATCCGATCCTTTTCTGCTGGGTACTACGAAGTGCAGTGTACAGACGCAACGCAACGGTCAAAGCGGCCTGCCTTATCTTGGAAGGAATATGATCAGACAACTCCACCTCAGGCCTCAGCTCAGTACCTGATCGATGACCCTTATCTCCTACAGGCCGGCCAACAAGACCATGCTGCTATGTTCTTCTCCACATGCATATTCGATATGCCTGCCCAGCTGCCCTGCCCACGCACGAGCAAATATTGCCCTGCCTCTGCCTGCTTGCCAGTTGTGCATGCACGAGTCAATCAGTGTGAACAACTGCATGCAAATCCCTTCCCTGGATGCTCTCTACAAAGGAAAGGAAAGGAGAAGGCGGCCAAGACAGATCTCTCGCCCAGCCAGTAGCCACCCCAATGATCTGCTGCTTTTTCCTTGTCAAAGGCCAATATTCCTTCCTCTCCTGATGCCCTTGGCAAAGTCGTCGCTCCAGCCCTGCCGCCCAGGGGAGCCGTGATCAATGGCTCCTCAGTATAAATACATGCCTAGGCATGCAATGGAGAGCACCAGCAGTGCACAAGAAGCACGACGAGCGGCAGGCAGAAGAGAGGCCTCGCATGGAAGTAAGAGGCCATCTTTGATAGCCAGGGATGATTTGCCTGTAGCAGCAGCATGCAACCTCTGACTCTGAGCGCTCCTGATCTGACTCTGCATGCTGCCATGGCATGCAATTAGGGGGCGGTGCTTCTACAGTTCTACGGGCAAACCATCCCTGGCTGCTGAGTGCCTCTTACGCTGTCCCATGTCAGGCTTGCTCTTCTCTAGGGTCTCGTTTAGTTGCGCTGATTCGGCGCCAACAAACACACTGTAGCTACAATGTGTTTTGTTTTTATTTGATAATAATTGTTCAATCGTTGACTAATTAGGCTCAAAACGTTCGTCTCACAAAGTACAACAAAACTGTGCAATTAGTTTTGATTTCGTTAATATTTCGTACTCCATGCATGTACCGTAAGTTTGATGTGACGAGGAATCTTCTTTTTGCATAGTGCCAAAGTTTAGAATTGGGGGAACTAAACACCCCCTGGCTTTATTTAGGGGCCAACGAAGACCCAAATTATATACCGGTGAGGTATGTTTTCGAGTTGGCTAGAGGGTTTGAAAAAAGTTATAAAACCTTTAGTTATATATATATATATATATATATATATATGTGTGTGTGTGTGTTAGGGACGGCATGCATGTACGCTTTTCGATCGTCTCGACAATAGGATAGGAACATGACGGTGGAGTTCATTATGCAGTTCGGCAATTTTTTTTGTCAACGATATCTTGTTTAAATATTTTATGCAGATATATAAAATAAATATAATACACAAATCTTTATTTCAGGATCGGATACTTGCATCGGTGGTGTTGACACGAGTTCGGTCACCATAGTTTGGGCAATGGCGGAACTCAACTGATCCGAAAGCCGCACCTGCTGAAGAAGGTCAGGGCGGCGGTGGGCAACAACAAACACAGGGTGCAGCCGGACGACCTGCCCAAGCTCAGGTACCTCAAGCTGGTGCTGAAGGAGACGCGGCTGCACCCAGCGGCGGTGACGCTTCGATCTGGCTCCCAGGGAGAGCATGCGGCACGTCAAGATCTGCGGATACGACGTGCGTGCCAAGACGAGGATCTGCTGCCCGGCCTTCGATCGGCGCATTTCGAGCTGCTGCCCTTCTCGGCGCTGGACGGAGGATCTGCCCTGGGCTCGCCGCCATGGCAGCCAGGGCAGCTGCTACTATGGAGTTCACGCTGGCCATTCGACTGGGTGCTCCCGGAGGGCGTGGCAGCGGAGGACTTGAGCAGGCAGGAAGAGGCCGCGAGGACTCGCCATCAATAAGAAGATCCCGCTCGTGCTTGTGCCCACCAGTGTGTGTGTGTGTGTATATATATATATATATATATATATATATATATATATATATATATATACACACACACACCTGCAGTGGCGGAGCTGCGTTGACGGGCATCTAGGGGTGTTTAGATTTACTGACTAAAGCTTACGAGGTGTTACATGGAGGTGTCGTATGAGATGTTTAGATACTAATAAAAAAATAAATTATAGAATTCGTCGGTAATCCACGAGACGAATTTATTAAGCCTAATTGATCATTCATTAGCACATGTTTAATGTAGCACCACGTTGTTAAATCATGAAATAATTAGGCTTAAAAAGTTCGTCTCGCAAAACAATCTCAATCAGTGTATTTAGTTTCATAATTAGTCTATATTTAATACTCTACGTATGTGTCCAAACTCCGATAGGATAGCGACTAAAGTTTATTTTGTGGATAATTATGGCCTGAAAAGACATCTAAGTACTGGCTACGGAGGATGGATCGGAGACGACGCAATGCAAGTAGTAGTAATAAAAATAATGGATAATTAGGTGTGGTGTTCCTCCCTGGTTATTATTATAATTATTGTATGACTACTACATACATACTGTATTACTTCAGAGACGCATGCTCTCCAAAAAGTTTGTGGTAATCAATATGTAATAATATATAAAATGTGTCCTATAATATGTTGTTCACCTGCTTTAATATTTTTCAAATAAAGGAAGCTTTTAATTAAATCCTCGAAGCTTTATTACTCCCTTTGTTTTTTCTAGTTTTGTGCTAAGTCAAACATTTCTATTTTTGACCACCAATTTCTTTAACAAATTATACGGATTAATAACATGAGATTTATGTTTTTAGATTTACTATGAAAAATACTTTCAGGATAAATAGTTCACATGTTGTGAAAGTACATGTTTCTTTTTAAATTGATGGTCAAAGTTAGAAATATTTGGCTTAGAACAAACCTAATACGACATATAAAAATTATGGGAAGAATACATCGACATGATATGAGACCTTGAAAAGGTACTCCCGACTTTTGCCTAACAAGAAGCACATGTGGCCACAAGATAAAAATGAGACCGATCTACACATTCTAGTAACTATTAATAATTTGTAGACTAGATCGTCACCCATATGCATGGAAGAAATATCCTTGGCCTCCTGTGCCAGCTGTTTCAAGGCCACCAACCAAGTTTTGATAAGCCTCTTTCTACAAAATAGCCCAACTAAATAGCCGGTAAATAACCGAATAGATAACCTACGCAAGAAAAATATTTTTTTCTTTTCAAAGATGATATATGCCATTTCTGCTAAGCCAAAATGGCCGACAAGTAGCAGCCTTCCTACATGAAGTAATGGTTTTAAATCTTTACTAAATCCTCCTCACGAAACCACCAAACAAGCAAGAAACACTGTAAGATTCACTTAGTCAAGTAGCCACCTAAATAATTGACCAACCGAACAAGCGAAGTGGCGTTCTAAGGACAGGTGTCTAGCTATCTTATCTTTGGGACAAAAAGCAAGACTACCTTGCCATCGCGCTTGGATAGATTAGCCTTTGTCAATATAACTCCTCTTCGTAAGTAGTCGTGAGCTTCTAGATCGACCTCTCAAGTGGATTATGTGGTTAATGATGCCAACTTTGCTTTTGTGACTAACATGTGTGTTTTGAAGAAACATTTTTATGTTGGGTCATAAAGCATGAAGTTAAAGGAGTGTCCTCTGAAAGCATCTAGGCCCTTAGTTTGGTTTCTTGATTAATGACGACACAAGATTCTTTGTGACTAATGTGTGTTTTGTAGAGGTAACTTGAGTTAGGTCATGGTAATGGTGATTGATTGGGCAATTATGGTTTTCATGCCTTTGTCGATGGAAATCATTTTGGTTTTCAAAAGCACGGACTAGTTCTAAGTGTCGTTTGACGTTGGAGAGACACTTAGAGTAGTTTAGGACTTTGTTTTTCCTTTGGCCGTTACTATTAAGGGGGTATGAACTAGTAGTGTCGGTGTTTTGAGTAAACACCAATGAGTAAATTTGTATATTAGCCTCTGCGGCTCGGATGGTGTGCTAAGAGGACACAATGATTATCTTGGTTCGGGATGAATGTCCTTACGTCTAGTTTCGGGTTGCTCGTGTTACCAAAGACTTGAGTTTGTAGTAGGGGGTTACAAAGCTGGCGAGAGAGGAGGTGCTCCCAAGTCTCGTGGTTCAATTGCTCGATGCTTCTACTATTCGATCTATCGATTGATTGATCTCTTGTGGTGTGGTGAACCGATGCCCTTAGTGGGACACCACTTTCCCTTTATAGGCTAAGGGAAAGCGGGGTTTACTCACAAGGGAAGAGGGAAAAAGAAAGAAATAGGCTCCCGGGTGTGCCATCCTCCTCTTCACGTGGGTCCCTCGACCCTATAGATTGTGGTGGCGATGGCGTATGCCGCAGGTCCTATTGGCATTGCGGATATCGTCTGCGGCGTCGTCGTCGCCATTCTTGTCTTCCATCCCATCCGAGCGGAAGGAATGGTCAAAGGGTCCCCTGACAGAGGCCATACGGGGGGCTAGCGGTACAATGCCAGTCAACTGACGCTGGTTGACTGACGTCGAACGGTGGTCATGCAGGGAGTTGGCCGCACAATGCTGGTCTGTTGACGTGATGGGCGACGTGAGTCTCCCAGCATGGCCCGATACGACCGTCGGTTGCATCAGGACGTGCCTAAGACATGCTCTCGGGCATGCGCCTCCATGCCGTAGTGGTTGAAACGGTTCGGGTCCCACCCTAGGGCCATTGCTTTTGTCCGGTAGCAGATTCGACCCCTAGGGAACGGGCGAGGCGGAAATCTCGCCCTGGGGGCCGTGCGAGACAGAATCCTACCCTCAGGGGTCGGACGACATGGAGCCCTCCCCGTGGGGCCGGGCGAGTCATAGCCCGCGCCCTGGGGTCGAAGGAGTCGGAACCCACGCCTTGGGGTCGGATGAGGCAGAAACCTCATCCTCGGAGTAGGAGCCCATGCCTTGGGGTCGGACGAGGCAGAAACCTCGTCCTCAGAGTCAAACAAGGTGTGGCCCAGCTCCTAGGGTCGAACGAGGCGAAACCTCGTCCTCAGAGTCGAACGGGGCGTGGCTCGGCCCCTGGGGGTCGGACAAGGCCGTAGTTGCGTCTTTAATCATCGGATGAGTCAACACGACGCTCATTAATCCTTTGGCTTGGATACCCGGGTATAGATATCCGACAGTAGCCCTTGAACCTTTGGATGAGTGAGACACTCCTGCAAAGGCTTTTTGCGATCCGTCGCTTGAGGGCGCATGGGAGTACTGTTCGTTATTGTGGCTTTGTAGTCTGTCCGCGGTTTCTGCAACCGGAGGTGACTCGTCGTCTGTCTACGACCGCGTGTTCAGTCTCTTTGTGATGCCGAGCCCCCGTGCATAGCAGAGGTCCGGTCGGGGGGTCGATTCATCTTGTGATCGTCGTCCCTCATGCGTCCATTCGCTAGAACGGAGGGGCTGAGCCGTGATGTGCTTTCCTTGCTCGACAGAGCACGACGCTCGGTGAGTTGTTAACGGGCTTGTTCGACTAGAGCCCCGGCATCCCCTTCATAGGGGCCCGGTTCGAGATCAGCTGATGACTGACTCTAGATTCTTAGTGGTCGGTCCATATAGTTCTCGGATCCGTTCGACCGGTCCGAGGGCTCGATGCCTTTCTTCGAGGAAAAATCATGGACCTTGCATCATCCAAGACTCAAAACGAGGGTCAGGGCGCCCATGGCGCTTCGCGTGCCTCAGGTATTGGCCACTAGCGGGCCCGTCCTTAACCTCTCCTCACTCTAAGGTGCCCTAGAGCGGCCGTGAACCCACTGGTGGGCCAGCCTCGAACTCCTGGGCGTTAAATGGGCCGTGGGAGCGTTTTCAACTCCATATCCCACTTACCTACGGCGGCCCGTAGCCTTTGAAGTCGAACCATCACCTAGCGGATCCTTCGCGGGGAAGATTTGGATAGGCATGCGCTCGTCTCTCGAGGTAGCGATGCAACTGATGCAGCGTGGAACAATGAGGGCACGATCCTTGAAGGAAATGGATCTGGAGAGGCGTGGGGCGCGTTAATTTAGGCAAATGGTTCGCCCCTTGCCCGTTCCGCCCTTACCTTATAAACGGAACCGTCTCTCCCCAGCCTCTGTACGCGCAGCCGCATCCTTGCCCCTCTAGTCTTTCTGCCTTTCGCTCTTGAGTTCCGGCCTTCGTTCCCCTATTTTTGCTCCGCCGCCAGCGAACCTCTCGCTCTCCAACTCTACATCGCCATCCCCATTCCTCGATGGAGCCGTGGCCTCGCTCCGACATTCTCCACGTGTGCATGGAGGGACTAGTTAAGAAGGGCCTTCTCCGTGCAAGGACCGCGGCGATGGAGTGGATCGTACCTAGTGGCGAGGATGAGCCATCGCCACCCAATGGCTACGTCGTCTCCTTTGTCCCCTTCCACGAGCGTGGGCTCGTGACTCCTCCCCACCGATTCTTTCGAGGGCTGCTGCACTACTACAGGCTTAAGCTGCAGCATCTGAATCCCAACAGGATTCAACACATCTCGGCCTTTGTCACGCTGTGCGAGGGGTATTTGGGGATTGAGCCCTACTTTGAGTTGTGGAAGTATTTCTTCACCGTTGAGCTACAGAAGAAGAAGGAGAGGAAGAAGCCAGACCTAGCGGTGCCGATGGGATGTGCGAGCATCCATCTTTGAGGCAGCCGGTCATCGGAGTACACGTCCATCCCATTGTCAAAATCCAACAAGGGGTGGTATAAGCTCTGGTTCTACCTAAGGAATGACGATGCCGCCCCCTGTCAATCTTCTTCGACCGCCAGATTGAGGAGGCGCCGGACGCATG